TATATGTATATGTATCTGGTGACAGATTGGCTCAGTCAAGCAGATTGTAGAATGAATCTTTCTTGGCAACAAATGTCTGAGCAGTTTTTTTTAATAAACAAAAGCAGAGTTGAGTTTGGTCAGAGTGAAGTACAAGACATAGGAATACAAAACAAAAACAAGACTTCACCCAACAATCTGAATATTTGCAGTGTATCAGAAACAGATAAAATAATCCGAATTGTCAGAGGACATGCCACTGATGAGTTAGGAGAACGAAGAAGAGTGGGCGTGAAGCAAAATAAAAGCAGTGGGAGCTGTACATTCTCCTCGGCAGCTGGCGTTCGGAGGAAAGAGTATGTTCTCCATCTATTTAAAGATTTTTCCTCMACACCGCCTAGAATTATGTTTACCATGAGTGTAGGTGGCTTAGCACAAAATGAATCAAATCTTGCTCTATTACTTGTGGTACACAAATAACTACTGCTGTTCCAGGAAGTAAAGAAAATGCCACCGATATCTTGGAGAAGAACAATTTGTATCTTTTATTCAGCAGAAGTGATTATCATTAAAGACTTCTTAGCAAATAGCAGATTTGATCTGAAGTGGATATTGTTCTATCTGAAGAGCTACTTAAGGAATTGAGGATAGACAACTTTTACACTTCTGTAATTTAAGGGAAAAAAACGTGACGACTGTCTAAAACTGGCACAATGACAATTTCCAGGTCCTCTATTAAAATTTCACACAGTGTAGTTAATTGGTAATTCTTGCTGTAGAAGTGATCTTGTATTCAGGCTGACAGCAGGAGAAAAGACTTTATCTTTTCCTCTATCGTTCACTTTTTTCGGCTTCCTCATTTTCTATGCATTTTAATTTTTTTTCCCCAAGTAGAAGGACCATGTATCTATCACCAAAATGACAAGCACAATTTCTCCATCTCCCAGYCTCAAAAGAGCAAACCTTCACTACGAAGCAGCACGGGCCAGATGGTAGCGAGGAAGTTGAGCTTATATCAGGCTTCTCAGTCACATAAAAGCTTTTATGTTGTATCAGTTCATACTGGTTTCTTTGGATCTGGAATGTGTCAGCGCTTGTATAAGACAGAAAAGGAGAGAGGAGAGCACAGGCACAGGGAGTGAGATCAATGTGACTCTGAAATGAAAAGTGCCAAGAAGATTTTTTTTTTACCCGTCTTCGCAAGAACACTTTCTGCTGCATTTGTATAAACAGTTTCTTTGTTATCAGATGTTTTGATTGTTGGAAGCAAATGTGTGATGGAGTTTCCAGGTTACAACTGCAGCAAGAGTTTTAGAAAGCGGCTCTTTTTTTTTTTACAAGTTCATTGTTTTATGTAACTTTTTAGCTCTTTGGGATTGCACCCTGTTGCTCAGCCTTCTTGTAACTGTGGCAAAATTCCAAGCATGTGTTCTAACAGGTTTTAAAAATAGAATAGTGGTTTGTGTTTATTAGAAAGGCTCATTGAAGGTTTAGGTCAGGGCTATTCAACTAAACTGCTCAGGGGGCCACAGTTACTCAAAGCCAATAAATCAGGGGCCTAAAGTTGGGGTGGGGGCGTTGCCCAATAGTGGATGAAACACTGCATTATAAAGAAAAAGTATTTTTTTACTTTTAAATTTGTTTATTTTGTTGCATTGAATCATAAATGTAAAAGTGACAATTGATTAAAAATATTTTTATATTGAAGTTTAAAAACTTCCCTTTTTTGCGCGGGGCCTTGTTGGCAGTCCAGATGGAAGTCCTAATTTTTCTAATTTCCCTTTAAATTGAAATTTATTGATTGATATGTTTTTAAAAATATTTCCTTGTCTTATGTTGTTGTTCTTTTGGCTGCTCCCTTAKTCAGAGTTTGCCAAAGCGATTACACTCGCTCAGAAGATTTGCCAGTTGATTTATGATGAAAGTTCTTCCTGATCAGTGGTGGTTGGATCTAGGATTTTTTTTGCGTAAGGGGTCATCAAGGAGCCAAAATATTCATAGAGGGGCCAAATCTTTGTTCAGCATCCTTTCACACAAATCTCCAGTTTTGTTAATGTGTATACATTTAACCATTCACATGTTCAAACACTTGTAATGTTTTTTAAAGGGTACTACTTTACAATAACGCTCCCCTTAGATGGCTTTTTAAGAGTTAATAGATAGGTTTTTAATTCATCTGTAAACACTTTAGAAATTATTTAAAAAGTGTTTATTAAGCATTTATTAAGGTAAAAAAAAGAGACTAAACTGCCTGGTTTGTTTCCAAATACTGAGCCAAATCTGCTTGGGTATTAAACATTTCAGACAAGTTTACTACCTTTTAAGCACAATAATGATTAGGAAATTCATATTTTAACATATAATAATGTACTGTTTTACTGCATTATAAATATCCACACATATTAAAGGGATCCCTATTGTACAGTATAAAACTGTACACTATTTTAGATTGGGTTGGATTATTTGGTAAGTTAACATGACAGTTTTTTATTATTTTTGATACATCAACATTGTTGACAGTAGTTACATGTTTGAACAATAATTTCAAATATTGATTATCAACACTAAGTTTTAAAAATGATTTTTCACATTAGAGACCAACTTTTGATATTTATAAATGTTTATTTGTCATTAATAAATAGTGTACTGTATTAAACTTTATAAGTCTCCCTTTGACAGTTGTGATATTTATAATGCAGTAATACAGTGCAATAATAATATGTTAAAATATGTGTTTCTTATTGTTATTGTGCTTACAATGTAGCAAACTAGTCTGAAATGTTTAATACACCACCTTTAGATGTAATATGTACGTGAACAGATCCAACTCGTTATTTGGTAAGAAACTGGACAGTTTCGTCTTTATCATCATTAATTCTTGCATAATAAACATTTATTAATGATTTATGAAGTGTAAACTTTACAGACAAATTAGTAACCTATCTATAAACTCGTTATAAGCCATCTACTGTATAAGGGGAGCCTTATTGTAAAGTGGTACCAAAAAAATCTTGCACAGTAAATTCTCAGTCAATTCCCAGTTTTTCATACATTTTACTATACATAGATAGAATACTCTCAAACACATAACATGTGAAAAAAATCCAACCATCATTTTTCAGATGAAAGACTTTTATTACAGGATTGTTCAAATTTTCTTAAGAAGAGAAGAAGAATTGTGTAAACTTGATTTATTCTGGATTTTACTATTTGACTCATTAGCACATCTAGTGTTTGAACATGGAACTGCATCCACCATAATCACTCCCAGGTAAAGGACAGATGAGTGACAGGACAGGGGCACTTCAGGGGACCAATCAGATTTCAGCTGGGGCCAATGCCCCTGTGGCCCCGCCCCTAGAACTGCCCCTGTTTCTGATGCAACCTGGGCTCAAACCTACAGCTTTAGGATTACAAGACTGCAGCACTGACCACCGAGCTACTTTAGCCCAATCTTATAATCCTTACAACTTCCGTTGAAATTGAACATTTTTCTTTGACAGCTGATGTTGTGACAGGAAATCCCTTCACATAAAGTTTGGCATCTCTGTAAAGCTTAGGCATTTCCTTATTTAAGTATAGAGCTTGACTAACAACGTCTGTAATCCATGAGTTATTTTATTAGACAAAAAGAAAAAAATTGTATAGGTCYTCTGGACGGGTTCTTCTCTAATGAAACGTTTCGTCTCTTCTCCAAGAGACTTCTTCAGTCTGAGAGTATCAGGCAAAATTCAGGCTTTTAAGCCCAGCCTCCATGTGACTGATACTCACATCACATAGCTATCGTTGACGTTAAACAGAGGTGGAGGCCTCCGTTTTCAGTTGTCCCCCTCCTACAGCGCGGCCATTGCCAGTATCACTCCACCCCCTGTTAACAATAAGTGTTAATTAGGTGTCAACTATAGCCATGTGATGTGAGTATCAGTCACATGGAGGCTGGGCTTAAAAGCCTGAATTTTGCCTGAAACTCTCAGACTGAAGAAGTCTCTTGGAGGAGAGACGAAACATTTCATTAGAGAAGAACCCGTCCAGAAGACCTATACAATTTTTGTCTTTTTGTCACTGTGTAATGTTTAAGTTCTTGTACTCAGTATCAGCGAGTTCCCAGACTGAAGTACTTGTACTCATGCTCAGTTTGAGGAAAATGGTATTAAGATTCCGGCATAGTCACCTATGTAATAAAACAAATCGTATATATATATAT